CACACTTAGTGGCAAATTTTCTATGAACTTTGATGCAAGTTTGTCAGCCATGACAGTGACATTCGTGACAAAATTTTCAGTAAGAGATCACAGCTGGTAACATATAATCTCTCATTAGATGACTTTTATAATCTGAACTGAAATTATAACATATAATCTCTCATTAGCTGACTTTTATAATCTGAACTGAAATTGGAACAAATAATCTCTCATTAGCTGACTTTTATAATCTGAACTGAAATTATAACATATAATCTCTCATTAGCTGACTTTAATAATCTGAACTGAAATTAGAACAAATAATCTCTCATTAGCTGACTTTTATAATCTGAACTGAAATTCGAATTTCTTATTCTTAGTCAAGAAACCTAAAAAATTAAAATAAATTTCGTAAAGTAATAGGGCAAGGACAGGAAGATATTTTATTGGGGGTCAAATAAAATTGAAACAGAATAACTAGACTAGCTTGATCTAGTCCAGCGGTTCTCAACCTTTTAAGCTCGGCGACCCCTCTTTTCAATCCCACACTCTGCCGCGACCCCCCCCCCCCCCCCTCCGCTTAGACACACAGCAATAGAAGAATAGACAAAACTATTCATGTTTTCGATGGTCTCTGGCGACCCCTGGCAAATCGTCAATTGACCCCCAAGGGGGTCGCGACCCACAGGTTGAGAATCCCTGATCTAGTCTTTTGTTTGAGTCACTTCTACTAAATGCTTTTATAATATTAAAATCCAAATTCAAAATAAAATATTGTTTGTAGATTATGCATTTTCTCTAATCATGCATCTTGAGTTTTTGAATTGACACTTTCTAATTTTAAACTAAATTATAACGAATAAAAAAAAAAATCTTAATTTATATATCAGATCTAGGGTTTAGTTAATTTATTCTTATTAGAAGGCTGCAAACATAACTGACTATATAAACTTTGTATATATATATATATATATATGGCCTCATTCAGTTGTGAAGTAAATTTGGATCAGCTGATCTCATTCATAACCTTTGTAGGAAACCATGAAATCAGACTTGCATTTAAAAAAAAATATGTAAACACAACTACATTTCTTGCCTACTTATATGTCTACATCTTGTAGGAAATTCATTTTGTTTTAAACAATTGAAATATAATGCTCACATTATGTTTTCATTTAGGCTTCTTGTCACTAGTACTAAATATGTGTTTATAAATAGTAGACTCTTTCACCATACATTGGTTTTCTTCCTTTAATAAAAGTATTATGGAAAATTAGGGTTTGTGGGCTAGACATAAGTTAGTCTGGCAAATGACTGAAATATGGTTTTAAAAAGTTGTATAACCCTGTAACATTGTGTTGTAGACATTAGATATTCTGGCAAATGACTAGAATATGGTTTACAAAAGTCGTATGAACCCTGTAACTTAGTGCTGTAGACATTAGTTAGTCTGGCCAATGGCTGGAATATGGTTTACAAAAGTCGTATGAACCTTAAGCTAAATAATCAAGCTAAATAATATTTGAAGCTACTTTATATTTATTGGTAGATTTAGATGTACAGCATAATGTGTGATATCTCTTAACAACTAGGAACCAATCCTTGAAGCTACTCTGATATGCAGTATGTCTGGTTGAGGTCTTGTCATGAAGTTTGTCTGGCAGACTTTGGAAACAGGATTTCATAAACAGTTGTTGCATTTTAACCTAATTTTCAGATTTTTATGTAGGCTAGTTATTTATGTCAGGGGAATTTCTTTTGATTTTTTTTTTTAGGCAAGTGATTTATGTCAGGGGAATTTCTTTTGATTTTTTTTTTTAGGCAAGTGATTTATGTCAGGGGAATTTCTTTTGATTTTTTTTTTTTCAAAGTTTTATTTCCAAGTCTCTCCAGTAAAGTTTCTAGATCTACATGCAAAAGCTTATTCAATATTTATTAAGAGATATATGCTCTGACGTGACTGAAAGAGCGCACAGTTCTTCATAACAAGAAGTTTAAGTGTTTAACTAACATTATTATTAGAAAACTTCAAAGAGTATGTGAAATGTAAAACTGTATTCTCCAGATGGTGAGAGAGATAGACAATGAAAAGAGGACCAGGTTATTACAATTTGTTACTGGCACTTGCCGACTTCCTGTTGGAGGATTTGCAGAACTAATGGGTAAGGGTTCGGGTTAACTTATCTTTAGAAACTTTTTAGAGCTCTTCTTATTTTAGAATTAATGATCTTTAGAATCATTATAGTGCTTTTTTTTTAACTTTAGGTTAAACATTAGGTTTTTTTAAATCTTTATAAACACATGCCTAATGATTTATTTTATTCCTGTCTTTGTAACTATATAGTTCAGTCCCATTGTCCTTTTTGTGTACAGAAATTGAAACGTACTGTCCAACTGAGATTTGCCATTGTCTTTTACAGGAAGCAATGGGCCGCAACGATTTTGTATAGAAAAGGTGGGGAAGGAGACTTGGTTGCCGCGCTCCCACACTTGTTTCAACCGGTTAGATCTGCCCCCTTATCGGAGTTATGAACAGTTGGTCGAGAAGCTGAATTACGCCATTGAAGAGACAGAAGGCTTCGGACAAGAATAATATCTGTGTTAATCTTAATGCAAAATAACATCTGACCATCCTTTCAGAGTCAAGTCAATCTATGTGATATACATTCTTTTAAATAAAATGTCTGTCACATGAGCAGGCTCCATTTCTTTTTACCTGGCAATGTTTCTTTTCTTTGCATTCTCAAAAAGTTCCAAAAAGAATCACAGTTATAATGTTTACCTTCGGTAACTTTTATGTTGTCTTCATCCATCATTTGTACAAAATTTTATGGTACTTTTATTTGGTTTTCAAAAACTGAATAGAAAACAAAACATTCTTTTTCTGATTCAATGTTTCTCTTTGCATATAAATGAAATGCTAACTAATTGGTTAGATGAAATACATTTTCTCAATTGTAAGTTTCAAATAACTGAAAATGTCAAAAGCATTTAACAATTTCAGATGAGGACTGAGCATTGAAAGATCTGTTTGACTAATTTCAAAGAACAGAACTGACTTCAGACAGTTGTCTTTTGTCCTTGACCCTCAGACACCATTGTTACAGTTCTTTACTATTCATTCTTCTTACACCAGTTTTATGTTTGTGATACTCTTATTGCCTACAATTCTATTTATAGTCATGTCTTTGATGAAAGTGTTTTCCAAATCTATGGTTTCATAAAATGTATTCATTCATTCTTAAAAGTAACTTTCTAACAAGACAAACTTGGATTAGAAGACATTTAGTGAATAGAAAAATCTTGATGCTTCAAAACTCAAAACAGTCTACAAGTAATGTAGATTTGACTGTGGGTCTGTGGCCTTTTTCAGTCGCCATTGGAATCATTTTATTAGTAGTGGAGTGCTTATATCCATAATCATTTCCAGCAATAACAACGTTATGGAACCAGTAACCAGACACATTTTTTAATTCTGTAATGTAGTCACTGGACTAACATTTCGCGCTCTGCATCTGTAAAGCAGAATTTGATTTCCATAATTGTTATCTCCATGTAAGTTTACATATAATTACTTATTAGGACTAATAGTAACGAAACAAACATACCGAGGAATAGATACAACTTTTGAAATTCATTCAACAATACCATCTTTTTGTTTTGTTTCTTGATCTTAGTTTTGAAGTGGCTGTAAGTTTGATTACATTCTCAAGCTATTGTAATATGGAGAGCATTCTTATGTACCATCTAGCCACCTATTCTATTTTTGATATGATAAGCAGATGGAATCATGTTGACTTCTTGTTTACTTAAAATAAAAAGACTTATTATAGAGTGTTATTTATATATATATTATATATATCTGTATATAGCTGTTGCTTTGACGACGTCGGAAGGGGAAGTAGTGTCTACATTGCTGTTACCTGTATGCAATACTGACCAGGTTTAATTAGAGTTCGCTTTCTAATCTGGTCATTTACAATGTTGTGACCTGGTTACAAGTAAAGTGCTGTTTTTTTTTGTTTTTTTTTTTACAATTCAGCCGACTAATTAACCTTGTTAGTGTCCACTGTTATTTTCTTTAAAGCGTGCCAGCCAGGTCAACTTAAGATTATCTGGCAACATCGGAATCTTCATGTTGTTGAACAAATGTCAAAATGTTGGGTTTTTTTTCTTTCTTTCTTTTTTTTTTACTTGGGACAGCAATTCTAGCTTTGAAGAAGGAAAAAAAAAGGGGGGGGGGGATTCTTTCATAAATCAATCCTTCAGATCTTGAAATTAACTATTACATTTGGCAAACTTGTATGCATTATTAAACTGCAGGCTTGTCCTTATCAAATCTGTAGGTCCCTAGGCCTCCTATCGAAACGTTCTGTCTCTATGACCTTCACAAGCGAGCAAACCACAAACGTGGAAAAAAAAAGGTTTTTGAAGTCAATGCAAACAATTTTTTAAATCTTTTTTTTTTTTTTTAAATTTTGAGATGTACGAGGAAACTGTATGGGTAAAAGAGAAGTAATTTAAATTTCTTTGACTACCAGTGTTACCTCTTCTTGTTTTCTCAACTTTGGTAATTGTATATAGATTCCCTATGATAATGACTAGAATGTTTCTATGGATTGTTATTTGTATTTTTTAAAATTGACATTAAAATGATTGCTTACGAGGTTTTGTTAGTGCAGTGTATGTGTGCACATCTAAAACAGTACATGTGAGTACATGCCGGAATGCCTGGATCATTTTGTAATGTTTAGTGTCGAGAGTTTCTCTGTTATGTGCGACTGGACAATTCTAAATGATAACATATTTGAAGCCGTGATTTGGTTTATACGGCAATAAATGGTCTTTTTGTTTGACAGCTTAAGAACACATTTTTTTTTATATCTCAAAATGTTATTTAAAAAAAAACAACAGCTAAACATATGTTTTCTTTGAAATGAGTCTGTGATTCATCTGGGATAACATTTCTTAGTTCTATTGGAATGAGTCTGATTTGTCTTGAATCAACATCTGTTTTAACTGGGGGGGTGGGGGGGGGGGTGCTACTTTTAGCTTGTCATCACTAGTGTAGAAACAATGATAAAAGCTAAGGATTCAGAAATTTGAGTAAAGTGTTTCAAACCACTGAGAGTCTCTAGCATGTCAATGTTCATACTCTCTATGACCCAATTAGTTGAGATCACCCAGTAGGCTGTAGAAAGCTGTTAAGTGTTGATACAGTATCAGCATGAACTGAAAACCTATCCAATAAAAAAAAAAATTTTTGTGTCTGTAAATGTGTCTAGCTACTACTCTCTTTATTGTAATTCTAAGAGTTAAAAAAAAATTTGTTATTAGGAACTTCCATCTGTACACTAGTTTTGGGTTTGTGAAATGTCTTAATAATATATGTACTTTTTTTGACAACCATTGTGGTTTAAGAATTAGGCTTAAATTGCTATTCTTGTAAATAAACTCTAAATTGTTCTGATAGGTCCAAACCATTATATTAGATACTTAATGTGATTTAAATAAATAAATTGAATGTAACATGAAGTTATCCAACTTTACACATAGTTTAGTTTTGCTTGACATGATTTGGATGCTCCTTCAGATTTGAAGATCTTAACATCCTTGGCAGAACCTTCTGTAGTACACTGGGGGGTGGCGGTCGGTAGGGCTCAAACTCAGTACCATCACATGAGTTTAAAGTTACAAATGTACGTACCACACGACCAGCCAGCCTTTCAATACAATCTAAAGCTGGGCTTAAAAACCTGACTTGGAATTTTTTGGTCTGGGGATATTCATAAAAATCGTATTTCATCAAATGTGCGTAAAGGGAGGTAACAATACGATTCTAACTTATGCGTTTAGTGATAAGTTTGTCAGTGTATACTTTGCCAACCAGCTGACTGAGTGACATCATACAATGAGTTTTTCTAGATTTTATCCTAACCACTTTCTAGTTTCATGTCATGTGTAAAGTGATAAACAGGAAATTAAACATGGTTTTATTTCAAACTTTAATGCTGGAGTTGTCTTTCTTTGTTCACGATCGTTTGATGGTTGTTTGATAGCGCTTGTTTATATAGGTCAGTCTTGGATAAGATTAATAGAAAGTATAGTGACCTAGTTTAGTTTAGAGATTAGGTTAGTCTTATTAATAAATATATTGTGCATTGTTTTTAGCGACGGTAAAAAGTAGTGACGTAGTCAGAAGAATGACACTGTAGAATAGGGGTACATGATAGGAGAAGATTATGACTCGGGCTTGTAGATATAGACCAGTGATGCCCAACTTAATTCGACCTGCGGGCCATTTTAAATCCCGACACTCGTGTCGAGGGCCACATGACCAAAAAACGAAATGAAATTGACCTGAAATAATTTTATTAGAAACATGTGGACCCAGTACTTACATTAATTAATGATTAATTAATGAAAAATTGGGTGTCATCTTTTTTTTTTTAACGCATCAGAAATTTGCTTCATTTCTGTAATTAATATGTAATTGTGCGCAAAATTGTAGCTAGCTATACCAACGAGTCATTTTCTTGTTTCTTTTTGGTAAATATTCCCATCGATCATTCAATCTCTAAGTGTAGTTTAAGAATATTTTTTTATTCGCGGCTCAAACCAAGAATGCCGCCATATTTAGTTTATAATGCCTTTTTTTTTTTTTTTAAATATCCTTACTTTCTTTATAAATTAAATACGTTGGCTTATTATCATGTTCCACAAACAAATAAAGACCCGTTCACTTTTCCTGGTAGATTCTAAATTCAGAGTCCACTTGTAGTTTTCTCGGCTCTCTATTTCCCATCTCGTAAACATAAAAAAATTAAATGTCATGGTACCAATCCATCAGAGAAAAAGGTCAGGGGACTCGCGTTATAACTAGTGAAGCAGTGTAAGAGTTAAACAACATACAACACCCTTCTTCTTATCTTGTAAAATATAGACGTTACTTCAAAAATGAAGATGATTACGTCCTACGGGTCATGCATCTAGTCATGCATGTTAACCGTCAGGACAAAAGACATTCACTTCTTTTCAAAACCTTGAATGATGGAACCTATTTGAAACATGTCTCCGGGGGATGAAATGACCGGTAACCTATTCTAAACTTTATTTTTGATTGATCGAAAGTTTTTCAAACCTTTATCTTTTTATCAAGGTGGCATCGTCTCAAATCATCCTCCAGCGTAATTGGTTTCATATTGTCATAAACTAGCTCTTAAACAAGCTCTCGTTTGACAAGAAAGGAATGAAGCCCAACTTTAAATAATCAACGCTATACAATCTACATTTCTTTTTGTTAAACTTTAGTTACATGTAGACAAAATTTAGCTATTTAAATAAGTATTGAAATTAAATACAATAATCTTTCGTTTGAATAGCAGGATAAATATTTGTAGCTAAGGTAGAAATCATATATTAGTTTATGAAATGAATACATTAATGGGATGTGAAAATTAAAGTCACGACCTGCTTAAGTGAAGTTCATTATCGTAGACCCCCGTGGACATCTCATAGAGCCCCAATTTATTTATTTCTTTTCGTAGACCCCTTGGAGGTCTTCGTAGACCCCAGGGGTCTATATAGACCATTTTGGGAATCACTGGTTTCCAGTTATCACGTAGACTATTTATATGAAAATTCGACACTATAGCAACGCGTCAATGGAAAATTTGTTATACCTGTTAACCCTTAAGACGCGTGCGATAGTTTGACCTCTAAACATTAGAATTATAATTACATTTTGTATGCACTCATTGTAATTAAAAAAAAAGACTCAGCACTTTAAGGGTTAACATAAATAATTTAATTTCTCAGATACTCAAAAAAATCATCCTTCAACAATGCAGCATTCTTTAAATCTTTGTAACTTCAACCATATAAAAGGAAGTTTAATAACTGTAAACCTACTTTTGGGCCATCAACTAGTGCTATTAGAGCATGGAATGGGTTGCCTGAGCCAGCCGTGAAAACCAGTAACTTGTTAGAATTTAGTTCATTGGTTAACATGCATGACTAGATGCACAACGCGTAGAACGTAATCATCTTCTTTTTGAAGTAACATCTGAGTTATATAAGATGATAAGAATATAATTGCGTCCTACGCATTTCATGTCAGTCTAGTCCTGCATGTTAATCAATGACTTAAACTCTGCCAAGTCGTTGGTTTTTCTGGCTGGTTCTCTTTTTGTAGCCCCGCCTGCCCTATTTTGAATCCGGACCTGGAAATACCTGTTAAGTGTAGAAGAAATGGGCAGTAGGTTGTCATTCCATCAATCGTAACAGGCAATCTTATACAATAAGATGGAGGAGTTAACAGGTTGCTTTGACCACCTCTGTCAAATTCTCGACAGTTTCTTCATGTTCTCTGTTAGATAGCTAGTTTAGTTAGTTGGGTTGCGCACATTATTAGACTGACAGTGAATGTATATTTTATAGTGACGACATAGACTTTGGGTTAGAGATTAGGATAGACTTTTAATTAATCAGTTACCGCTAGATTCTCAAGGGGATAACATCGTTCTATAATGACAGACTAGACTGTGGCCCATTCTGTATTAAACGTTTGTTTGAAGTTCACCATGAGTCATGTTGGTCATTGAGTCTGTGTTCCTGGTTAGTACCTTATCTATATTTGTGACGTGTGCATGTTTTCCAAGAACTCGCGGATTGAAAATACATCAAACAAGGTACGCACGCACTTAGTCTACATAATCATCTTTAGAAATACTTCAGCTACATCTGACTACACATGCATCCGTTACATCTCTGACGACTCAGTGATACGAGACCCAACTCCGCAGTTGACCTAGATTAAGTTCAAGTCTAAGTTCAGACCAATGTGTACTGGCAAGTCAATAAGGGGGAAGACTTGGGTTAAGTAAAAATTGTTACAACTATTGCGCAATAAAACTCAGATATAAACATTAAACTCAAATGTGTCAAACTAAGGCCCCACTATTTGCCAAGTCACACAGATGTGTAGTTTTATTGTTTACATTCCACCCACAGCTGACACAATATTTTCAATAGTCGTTACTTTGGAAGCCTTAGGCAGTTTGTAAGCCCATAGCTCTACACTCTGCTCTGGTAGACCCTGTGACGCTGCTGATACCAAACTGTATTCGGCATTTAACCCTAACCCTTGGACATAACAGGAGGCGTGGTTGCTAAGCGGTAAAGCGCTTGGCTTCCAAACCGGTGGTCCCAGGTTCGAATCCTTGTGAAGACTAGGATTTTTAATTTCGGGGTCTTTAGGCGCCTCTTGAGTCAACTCAGCTCTAATGGGTACCTGGCGTTTGTTGGGGATAAGTAAAGGCAGTTGGTCGTTGTGATGGCCAAACGACCCCTCGCTAACCGTGGGCCACAAAAACAGATGGCCTTTACATCATCTGCCTTATACATCGCAAGGTCTGAAAGGGGCTGTTTTTTTCAGCTGTTTGGAGAGGGGCGAACTGTGTGCGGGCAATATCGTTCAAGCCGTAGCTAATGTCAAGGCTCTCATCTCATTCAAATCCCTTTTGCTCTACGAGATGAACCATAGTTGTCCTACTACTGAAGGAGGCCAATGACTCCGACGTTAAGACGAGACAACTTTAATGGTGTCTGATTCTTATTACGGTCATTTGAGTCTCTTTCGGAATATTGCGTTGAATGACTGTTAACATCGGTAATAGTCTCTGCAGCATTGACTTTATTACCGACTCGAAGCTAATACTAATAAAAAAATAAAAATTAAAAATTCCGAAGTTTGGCGGAAGTGATGATCTCACGTGACTATGTGCATTCTGTGGTCTAGTTTGGACTGTGCTGTGTGAAGCTGTCTAATGGAGCGTGACCAGAGCGATGATCTCTCAACCGTTTAATGGGGAAAACATCGCGGAGGTGCCCAGGAAACAGGTGAACAACTTAGGGATGGGGGAGAGGGCAAGGGCGGAGACATGGGGGGATGTTTTAATTGCGACTAATTATCTTCTCGTTATTAAGTGAGCATGGGAATGTAAGAACATGTTTCGTGACCCCTTTATAACAATTTCAATTCTTTGTATGGGAATACTAGTATCTTAATGTGATTTCGTGGATCCCTCCCTCCTTTTTTCCGCGTTCCCTCGCCGCCCTTGTTAAGTTTTAAGTATATTTATATACTCCGATATGTTTTTTTTAGTCATAACCCTCTCATTATTCCCCTTTTTTCGATTTCTAAAGCCGCTTATGGAAGTTGCGAAATATAGACATCGCTACGATACAGTCAGTTATTATAAAACTAGAACGTGTAACGAAATAATCTTGACGGCCAAAGAAAAAAAAGGAAATAAATAAAAAGTATTTCTTGTCTAGAGATCAAACAACCCAGGCAATAAGTTCACTATTTCAAGTCACCCAATGAGTATAACATCTCAGAACATAGGAGCCCAATTCATCAAGCGCTGGTAGCAATGCCATCCTCGTAAAAGATGGCGTCGCACCTTCTTGGAAGACATAAGATCCGTACGCACCAGTTGAAAAGAGGCTGCGGAAGTCGCCTTTGACAGATCATTGATATCATTTGATGCTAGGACATCAGCGGTTCTCAACCTTTTAAGCTCGACGACCCCTTTTTTACAATTTCACTCTTCGGCGACCCCCATCCACACAGCAATAAAAGAGAAGACAAAAACAATCCATATTTTCGATGGTCTTAGGCGACCCCTGGCAAATCGTCAATCGACCCCTAAGGGGGTCGCGACCCAAAGGTTGAGAACCCCTGTGCTAGGTGAAGCCAAGTAGTTTCGCAAAAAGTCACCATGAATACGAAGCACAGCAAACGTTTGTTTCAATGGTCCTAGATTTCATGCAACAACTGCAGAGTTGAACGTCTAAACGTAGGCTATTCATTTGAGAAGCTACACTGCACAGACTTTCTTCCAAACCAATAAGAGGCTAATTGTTTTATGCTAAAGCTGCAATGGAAAACGACTCAACGTAAGCTGCGGTTGTAAAATGTTTGTCAAATGTTTGACATGTTTCGAA